GAAAAACGTTGAATAATATTTTCTGAAAAATCGGCAACGGCTCGTGTCGTCATCTTTACGTTCCCCTATAAATAGACCCTAATTTCAAGTTTTGCAGTTACTCTAAGACCTCAGTTTAAAGGTCATTGAATATGGAATAATTTTATTTCAGTCAATATCGATGCCTTAAAGTATGCAAATGAGTTAACTATGTTTATATTATGTGGATGCATGTAGAATGTTACGATGTGGGGGCATTCACAGACTCCACCAAGATGTCCATACCTATGTGGAAGATGAAATGAATTATAAGAATCCATCTACAGGAGAACGTGCAGGGGGGCTACTTCAGAATGTACAAAAACCAGAGAAGGAAACTCGGCACCAGGTTTTAAAAATAAAAAATCCGAGTAGGGAAGTCTCCTATTCCCACCTGATCAACTACACAAGACAAGCCACTATAGGATTCATACAAAGGTCACTGACGTCAATACTTCTAAATGAGAAGGTTAACTAGTCTCCCCATCAGAAGACTCAACCGTTCCTGACCGGTCAACCACGGGGTCCACCGGCCAACTTACATCAGTCAACTGCAATTCTTCGCCGTCATCCACATTTGGGATCGTGGTCTTGCCCTGAGACACGTAATGGTACTCGTATATGTCGTTGCTCAAAGAACACATATCTGTTGAAGTTGGGAAGAAATATCATCAAAGCGGCAAAACTGATTTACGGTCTCCTCAACACTTAACATTCTCCTACAAAACAGATTATGGGAGTCCTTCAAGCAGAATTTTCTTACATCCACTGAGACTAATTATTATTGGATTGGGGTTGTAAATATTGTCCATTTAATGCATTGTACATATATTTATGACTTAATTACTGGTCTGTTATTGTCTGTGTTTGGCCGTCGAACCACTGAAGATCACTGCAAAAAAAAATTATTCTCTAAAACTGTTGGGTCCTTGGAAAAACAGAATTTATATTAACATGGCAGGTATAATAGTTTAAAATGTGCGTCTTAGTAACCACTTTACCCTTGTACCTGAAATTATTCAAGTACTATTTATTTAAGAACCTGAAAATAATTCCTTAAAACTTCAAGATGCTGAAAGTTTACCCACGAATCTTTACGAAAGGCAATATTAAAATAAATTAAACTTATCACATATTACAGTTTTAATAAGTGACTATAATTTTACGGCTGGAAGGCATATTAATTAAGTGAAACGTAAATAGACCTACCTTTCACTCCAGGGACTGAGCCGGACATAATCTGGTAGAAAATATGGTAGGATCGCTCAAGAGACTGCTGAGATATGACACGGGCCTTCTCCAGCAGATCTGCAAGACAAGTGAATGGGATTATAACGTGTTTTTGAATAAATTACATAATTTACTACGTAATGTTGTAAGTAATACATTTGCTACATAATTTATGTAGCTGTAATCAAACTCCATGCAATGAAGGCATAATTCGCAACGTAGTCAGTATTATGCAAATGTGTGGTCAGTTTTAAAAGTATGTGTTTTAAACGAGACGCAGAATCGATCTTTTGTAACGGCGAAGAAAACAATTCATCTCACTGCTGCTCGCAGATTTTAACTAAGCTGTCCCAGCGCAAAATAAGGGTTCTTGTTACTAAAATTTTACAATCACAGTGAAAACGTAGATTTTTAAGTGAAATTTTTTTTGTTTAATTGTTTCACTGTTATAAGTGAATAAGACGTAGAGAAATTTGACTAAGAAAATTTTTCGATACATTTGTTCTACATTTATTTATCAACAAAATAAATTAAGAAACTTGTAATGTAATAAGTGAAAACATGTTATCTACAGTAAAGTCTTCATTATTAATGATAATGCTTAATAGGTCCTACTTTTAAAATTGAGACCTCTGTACACTTTAGTGTATAAGGCAAATTCATTTGGTGTACGTATATTGTATTAGAATAATCAAGAAACACTTTGCTGTTTTTTACAGAGCAGCTAATTATTTTACGACGATTACATGAAGCCAGCAAAGTGTCCTAGAGACTATTTGACTCGCCCAATATTCTCATTGTCATAGAATCAGTCGTATTTCTGATCCGCACGCAGAGTTCAGAGTAGAAACTTTCATAAGAAAGACTTGTTATTTTAAATAATTACAGATTAAAAGAATAATATGGATTATACCAGAAAATAAGGTAGGAAAGTTTCCGTTCTGAAATCCTCTCACCATTAGGCTCCAACATGAAGAGGGTAATTTTGATGCGTGTCATTAAACTTTAATCACGAATAACAGCCCTCACTAACACAACAAACACACAGCTGTCTGGTGTCACGACGCCATTAGATTATTAAATTAAATTATGGCCTCTTCAATTATTAATAAACTCAACTAAAACCTACGAAAGTATCTGAGAAATTTGAAAACGTATAGAAATTAGGGATTTAACAACCAGCTATGTGAGAAATTTGAAAAAGTATAGAAATTAGGGATTTAACAACCAGTAATTAATCTAAATATTCAAAAATGTACTGTGCATTACCAACTCACGTAAAGATTATAAATATTATTAATAACAAAAAACCAATGCTACTTTTGTATCAGGTCTCTTTATTAATAGGATTAATTTACCAACTAAATTTAGATTATATGTAATTATTAACTAAAAATAACAAATTTTTGTAAAAATTCCAAAAGTCACCTAGTGATATCGAAGTTATTTTACAAGGGTGGTAAAATTATAAATAAACGCATCCAATAGAAAGGGGAGTGAATTATATTCTTAGTGTAAGAATGGGATTGTTATAATTCTATGACAAATTTTCAAATTAAACTTACATGTTTCAATGTCAGCACCGGCCAGTTTACCAGCTGGACCAAAGTGAATACGGATGAATTTACCCTGCGAAAGAGCAAAATTATAAACAATTTTTAAATAAAACGTAGAATAACAAAATGTATAGTTTAAAGTTCTGAGGTGGAAATTCCGAAATATTTTAGTGCGGAAATACAGTAGCTACTAGTTGAAGTACTCACGAAACGAGAAGAGTTGTCATTTCGGACGGTCTTGGCGTTACCGAAGGCCTCAAGCACAGGGTTGGTCTGGACGACCTGGTCCTCCAAGCTTCCCTACAAAGTGAACAAACAGCACAGAATTAAAGACGGATTATAATAACAAAATGGCGAAGAAAGTGAGTGTCATGAATGATGCTACAAAATCTAACGAATATAAATAGAAGATTTCTGTCTTCTGGGTTGTTGCGCTGTGTAGTCTGGTCGATGTTAACCAACGTTTCAGAGGTCATACTGCCTCCGTCATCAGAGTATGAAGATTTCTGTCTTCTGGGTTGTCGCGCTGTGTAGTATGGTCGATGTTTACCAACGTTTCAGAGGTCATACTGCCTCCGTCATCAGAGTATGAAGATTTCTGTATTCTGGGTTGTTGCGCTGTGTAGTCTGGTCGATGTTTACCAACGTTTCAGAGGTCATACTGCCTCCGTCATCAGAGTATGAATATTTCTGTCTTCTGGGTTGTTGCGCCGTGTAGTCTGGTCGATGTTTACCAACGTTTCAGAGGTCATACTGCCTCCGTCATCAGGGCAGAAGACAGAAATCTTCATACTCAAAGCTGTGAAAACCTCAAATCTTACATAAATATAAATATAAATAGCAGAAACAAATGAAGAATGATTAATGTTTTAAATCTTACTTACCTTCTTCTCTTTGGCTGCTTCTTCCTTCTTCGACTGACTGGCGCCTACTGTGGCGAAATACGCAATTACTTTCTTCGTGTTCTCAGTCTTACCAGCTCCGGACTCGCCACTGTGGACGCAGACAAAAAAAAGACGATAACACAATTGCAAAATTATAGGGCAGTTTCTTTCACAACAACGTTATTACTTATTCTATGACAATCTATATTTCATTAGTTGTAGTTCTTGAGAATAAGCGTTATGATTCTTCGAAAAACTGGAAAAGTCAATAAAGTCAGCCTTATATAATGATACAATAAAGTTACGATACATTAAATTTAAAAAAAAACATGGATTGCCGAATATTCAGATCTTCAATGTACAATAAAAATGGAGCAACTTGTGAGGTCATATTTTTCGTGTTAACGTGCGCCTAGTGACTTACACAAAGTGGGGCGAGAGGATGTGATAGTTTTCCGAAGGAAGACACGATCCATTCCGTACATGAAAATTTACAACGAAATACGGCAAATAAGTTGAATTATATTATTAAATTACTTTCTGCAATTTATTTCATGACAGAATCGATACGTTGAAATTAAAGGAAACAAATGTATTATAACAGAGACTAACATTCTAATATGACTCCACAAGTTTGTGGCACTGGTTGTCATTTTATCAACATTATAACGGATATTGTCAGTTTCCAGATGGTATGTCATCTACTTTATATTCTGTTTATTTAACGCCCTCAAGAGTTTGGATATACCACATTCATCCACCAGTAGTTTTGTTCAATTCATTTTATGTCCTATTTTAATGGCCACCCTGTGTCCCGAGGTTGCCGATGACAACATAACTCCCCCCCCCCCGAGTCAGATTGCAGCCCCTTAACAATCTCATACCAGCGCAATCTCTTAGGGTATAAGATAAAATGCAAATGCAAATGTATTTGGATTACCCTCGACACAACTGTAATTTATTATTAGAATATTCAGTGTTAACACGTGTGACCACAATTTCGATATCGCCGGGATCTAACAGATAATTTAAATAATGAAAAATGTATCGTAACAAATAGGTACGTGTTTGAAACGCTTCGACGATCATCTGCGCTCATGTCGTCAAGGTGCAATTGCACGTTCACAACACGTTGGGTGGCACGTGTCTAATGTGTTGGAATTTTTAAATTCAACATGAACTGCCAGGAGAATTATCAAACACTGTTTTGTATGATTTTAGAGTTTAAAATTTCCATATTTCTTCG